CGCTACAAATTTTGAAAACGCGTAAAATGAGGAACGTTTAACAATCGCCTCCCAAAAGTCTCCGGTGTTAAGTTTGTCATCAGCGTCACATTCCCTGATAAAACGTGAGAAGATTTGACGAGGTCTGGGGCTTGGATGTGGTTAGGATGACGTTGCTCTTTTGAGTACTGTTTCATCGTTTATCTTGGGATGCTTCTGGTATTGGTCTCTGAATGAACATACGTATTTTTAAGATATTTTAATCTAAGAGATCCCTTAACACTTCTTAAATATTTTATTTTCTTCCTTGCATTTACAAAAATATTCTACTGCTTCCTGGATTCATATTTTTGTGTTTTTGCTCATTCATAGTTTCAATGTTTTATCGCTTTTTGATATTTGAGTACAATATTTTTGTCACTTATATCATATTCAGTCCCATTAGAGACGTTGCTTCTCGTTTTGTTAAACGAAAAAAGTTTAAAGGCAAGATTTTTACAGAGGACAGAGTGGTTTCCTTTCAAAAATGTGGTGTTTGTTTATGATACCCCACTTTTAAAATGTTCGCCAGTGTTCTATAAGAAAGAAAGTTACTTAAGTAGTTTTCGGTAGACTTAAACTTTATTTAATCGTACAAGGATAGAGCCTAATGTGTCTACGGGTGTGGCAAGTCACCATTAGATAATGTTTATATGAAGGTGGATAATGAAGATAATCCACATCAACAAAGGGCAATTTGATTTAAGCATGGAGATGAGCACTTTGGATTGCAGAAATAACCCGACGGACAATTTATGTTGCCTGGTAGGATAGGTACATTTACGTCTGCGCAATATGTATATGTTGTGTCGGAGTTGCAGAAGAATCCAGGTCCTACGCACGAGTTAGGCGTCGGAGTAGTTGGAATCGGTGTAGGTGTAGATCCACAAGTAGCATTAGCGGGATTTGTACAGTATTGAGATATAGAGTCAAAGAGTAGGTTATTAGGACATGTCATATTTTGGAGATACATTGTGCCAGACGTTAGTACACAAAAATAATATTTAGAGCAATCTTCTGCATTTGGGAATCTTCCTGATGTCACACAAGTGAAGTTTCCATTTTGACTCAATACTGTCTTCGACGAAATTAGATGCACAAATGTTACGATCGCAATCTGTAAAAAAGATACGTAATTATTTACAAATGAATTCTAAAAATATTGTACTTTATTCCCCACGCGTTGATCACGAGACACCTACAAAAATTATCTATAGGATTTAAACTTGATCGATGTGACCCTCAGCCTATAATTTCTTCGTATTTCCTCAATTATTCTTCTGCATGGAAGATCCTTACTGAAATGTTTTATTACAGTATCTTTGGAATTCATTACCTGATTTCAAGCAAATATTTATAAATAAATAGCTACTTTCCTTGAAAACCTACGTAATATTTAACAGAATACTAATAAATTAAGAACGTGGCCTGTACTAGATAAAAAGATTTTTATTAATGTTTTGGATATTAAAATATATTTCAGGTTATAACGGACTAGTGGTATACTGGAATGTTTCAGAGGTGCTTAATGCCTATATTATCAGGGATACGATCGGTAAACCTCTGTCACACTACACACGTCGCAACATCCAGATTAAATTTATTAAAAGGCAAATTAAAAGTTAGAAATAAATCACAATGAATATTAATACCATTCAGGTAGTTTACACTCAAAGTAACCAACGTCAAATTATAAAGACATTACATAATTATAGGAAAACTTTATGAACGACAGATTTGTTCGTAAGCAGTGACGGAGTTATTGAAACCAAATGATTAATAATGACGTCACTGACTTTGTGGTTGATGTACGTTTTGTGGGGGGTCGAATGTCAACGTGACGAACCAACAGAAAATATAGCAAAATTTCTTTGAATGAAGGCCAAAATGTAAAGCCATTGCAGACAAAAAGGAAACGGAAATGTTAGTGGTGACATCTTCATACGATTTGTAAACATATGTTATATAAATCATTTACATGGCTAAAATATGTTTGAGAAGAAAATAGTAATTTATATCGTTATATATTATAAATTTAGAAAATAATATAATTATTTTATAAGAATCTGTGATTTTCTTAATACAACGTGCCATAGAAATATGTATACATATATCAGCGAATAAAATTAAGACATTTCAATATACTAAACCACTACAAACGTTAACATCGGCACTTTGTGAATTGGAGAATCTAGTATAAGTGTTAAAAACGACCAGTTAGCCTTATAGCATAGTTGGTAACGGTGACCAACTGACTTGTAAGGTTTAAATTCCATACTTTCATTTGTATGCCTCTGTTTGGGACACTTCGTACAAAAAGTCTAACTACACCGCAAAATTCTTTTGTAGCATATACTTACATTTTATAAAAAAAATATGTTTTTTTACCGAATGGAAATTATTAAATGTTGAATGTTTAACTTACCGTAAACTTTATCTCCTGCAATTTCTTCATTTTAAGGTCTAATTAATACATGTTATATTCCAAGAGTTGCTGGTTCCAGATGCAATGTTCAGAGTTACCTGAGATGTAAGAATATTCAGTCGTAAACAAACCAATTACAGAGCGATTCATATTATGTGATTTCTAAGTAACACGTCGTAAATTTCAGCTCAGAATCTGTGTGCTGAAGGCTTTAATACGATGTCTTAATGTCTTTCACTGTAGCGACCTGTCGCTAATTCCTTTATCTCAAGTTCATGAGAGTGTTCTTGAAAGTATTTGTGACAAGTTTCGAAATGTTATAGCAGCTAGTAAACATGTAAACTGGAAAAATTCAGTTCGTACCAGAATACTAACAGTTCACAAATTCGTTCTTGGAATATTTCCGTTAAAATTGTTCAGGGATCCGACAGGAAGCCACAGTAAACTAATCCACTCGCAAACAGTATTTTAAAGAGGCACGGAGGATTTATTTTATACTGGAATATACATGATATCTCGTGTGTTCTTTGCTACGTGCATTTAGTGGTATAAAATCAAATTTTATCTAAATCCGTCCAATGGGATATTATTGATCATTAATCATAGCAGTGCATGATATTTTATGTCAAAATAATGGACATACAAACAGGAAAGGATGTCAGTAAACACACACCTTAGTAATGGCTAAATAATAAATTTATTGTATTTAATTATTAAAGCAAAACAGATAGTACATAACATTGAATAATTATATATAATGTATTGACTTTTACATTTTATTGTAACCATAAACAGAGATTTATAAAAAAATTCAATTAATTTATTAGTGTGCATGGTAACAGCCGAACTGGGCCAATTACAGCCAAGCACAAAAACGGAAGTTAATAACAATGATATAATATATAGATGACGTATAAGATAAAATATTAATACTAAGTGAAAACAAATATACAATAATCATTGGGAAATAAACCCAAAGAACCCAGGAATAAAATAAAGAAATAATGAGACAAGATAAAATAGATTTAAGACGAAAAGGTGATACAGGAAGAGAGAAAGGAATGAGGTAGAACAAATTCGATTAAAAACAAAAATATGATAAGAGAAAACTTAAAAACATTCACGAGGAAAAGCGAATCGAAAAGCCTCCTCCTTAAATGTAACGATAAGAAATTTAATCTAACTAATATATCGTCATAATTATAGCCACAAACGCCATTAAAGAATCTAGTGTAACATAGAGCTACAAATTTCCTTTGAATCCTTTCCAATTTAAAGGAGTCAGTATTAGTAATAGAGTTCCAAACAACGGATGCATACTCAATTTTGGAACGGACTAAGGTACTGTACAAGACCAAAAGGCTATCAACAGTGGAGAAGGAAGACGTGATGTACCGAATCAAACCTAGCATTTTTAAGCCTTGTGAGAATATATAGTTGATATGCTGGTGAAAATAGAGCTTACAGTCCAGTAGAACACCGAGATCTTTAACACATTTGGAGCGTGCCACCAGGTTGTTACACAATTTGTAATTAAAGTAAATACTGTTTGTCTTTCGGGTGAATGATATAACAGTCGTTTTACTTAAATTAAGTTGCATCCCATTAACAAGACACTAAAATTCAATTCAATTCATTTATTAAAGTGCTTGACAACAGCCAAAAAGGCCAATAACAGCCAAGCACTAACAACAATACAGAAATTTACAATACAAAAGCAAACAAACAATGAACTGAAAACATAAATGTACAATATTAATAATCTTAATAAAATGCGTCTAATCAATCTGTTTATTCTCTTACTTCTACAACATTCAGTTTGATTGCGCGTTGATAGAACAGGAAATACACAGAAGTTTTTACAAAATATTAGCAGTAATTTTACGAAGATGGGAGAGAAAAAGCGATAGAATGACAGGTAATGTTTTGCTTGAATATATCAGATATATGTAGAATATAATAGAAATGCAGATAAGCTTTTATCTGATACTGTGATTTCATGTTAACGACTTTTGTAGGATATTAGGGTTTTTTTTTCGTGCACGGAAATGATTCACCAGGATAGCATCTTTTGTCTGTGACACAACTCGCTTTAGGAATAATTTCTTTTTTATCTGGCGTGCAGTACGTGTATTCTCCCGAAGGGTGGCAATAGTATCCAAGAAAACTTCCACATTTAATGTCCGGCAGCTCTGGTATTATCGGTGGATCAGCTATTTGGCCATCCTGAGCTTCACATGTTTCAGTACCTGGGTTGAAATGAATTCCATTGGGACAAGTATATTCCGCGAATACTATTTTACCATCAGGATATGTGACTCGGATGTAATATTTATGCGCGTCTAAAAGATGTGGGTATCTTACTGATCTAGTGTGAGGAACGATATTTAGATTCCGTGCTCTCCGATCTATAATTCTTCGATAGTTATCTTCGTTGTCAGCCAGGCTTCGAGCATTTAACTCCAAATTCGCGCATGTTAACTGCACAGTTAATGCAACCAGAACCTGAAAAATAAGCATTTTGTAAGGATTATGACGTATCAAGTATATGTTTTTTTATGTTTGAAACATTTTAAGAATAATAAGTGTGTGCACAGAATAATTAAATATATACAGATGTCATAATTATTATAAAAGTTACTGTAAAAATACTGTGGATTCTGGTTAATTTGTACACGTAGAGACTAGAAAACTTTGGCCCAATTATGCGAAGTTTCACGTAGAGAGTTAAAATTTTTGTTCTGTGAGATTTGTCCCAAATAAATGACTACCCCGAAAATCGATGGCCCGATTATCCGGAATCCACTGTATATTTCGACTTTAGAAGTGTTCTTTGGGTTTTTAATAATCAGAACTTGACAGAAATAAAGTTTATTGGTATTTACGTAAAACAAGCCCCTGTACTTTGTAGTATTACATAAATTACTTTCCATTATGAAATATGTTTCAGTTAAGTTCTGGGCACTAAAAACTGTTTATAGATTCTTAGAAGTTGGGTAATGTGTGCATTTTTTAATAAATTTTGTTATTTGTTTATGTATATAGTTATAAACCCCTTAATATAGAATTAACCCTCCACTGAATTCTTCGCAATCATGTTTTTATTTCTGGTGTATATCAGATAGTGTTAAGATGGTCAAATCACATGGTAATTTGTAGATTTTAAAACGTGAAGAGAACACAAGTGAGCGCAGAAGGGAGGATAATTGTGTGTTCAAGAAATACGATAGACAGTTTTTCATTGTATTCATCTGGTTATGGGTAGAGGACAGTAGAGGTTCTTTCTAAACACAGTAATGGACTTTCGGGTCTCATGAAAGGTGGACATTTTTTAATTAGCTCAAGGAATCCGTCCAGCATTTTCTTCACTTAAACCAAGAATATTTTTTTCCATAGACCCAAGGACCAATTAAACCGTTCTAACACTATTTTTATAACTAGTAGTTATTTTTTATTATCTTTAAAATTACATATTCAGAAATAACAAATTATCATAAACAATGCTCAAATATAAATGTTACTTAAATTCACAAATTACAATTATTCATTCATTTATATTTGTTCCTGTATGTGGCATAATTTTTACCCGGATAACTTAATATTTTACGTAGATTTTAGTAATTGGTAACAAATTATCACTTAATTTTGTTGGAATGGTTACGACTGTTTTCGGGTCTGATGTGGCCCGCGGGCCTCCAGTTTTATTATATCGCAGGAGTACACAAATAATCGAACAGTTATAAATTAAACACTCGACCCTTTAAGATCGAGTGATAAAAATATGTTTATCTTCTGCTTAAAATTTAAAATCTCTTTATTTTATTATTTTTTTCCAAAATAAAAAGTTAATACTTACTTTAAAAACATTAATTAATACGTATTTGTATTGAGACACGTCGTATTTTCTTTGCGGTACGGACTAAATATTAATTGTTTTAAATTACGGTTTGCCAGAATTTATAAAAAAAATCAAAATTTTCCGTCTTTGTTCCAAAGCTGTCACCACTTATCACCTTTTTATACTCTTATTATATTCTTATCAGAAAGACAAACTGGCTTTGCCTGGGAACGTTACCAATAGATGCAATTTCTACGACTTAACCTCATACAATGCCTTTAACTTCTCTCTAATAAGTTTCTATTTGATTCTACTATTTTATCCATCTTTATACTTCAAGGGATTGAAAATTGTGAATTCTTATACTAAAATTCTAGCGGGCATCCCAGAACAATTCTGAGGGCATCACATTGCCCTTGGGTAGACGATTGGTGGGCCCTGCCATGAATAAAAAAAGGAAAAATTTGATAAAATTTGAACTTACCAACGTTATTAACTGCCATACACTTGCCATCTTGTAAGTTAAAACAGTGACTGTCAATTCTTCTGAGCGTAGCTCTGTCGCGTTGAAGACGAACTTTTGCTCCTACCTACTGTAACTAAGAATATATACTCTTCAATAACGTAACGTAAACTAACCCAAATTATCCATTATATACATAAAGTATCATAAATTCCAGCAATGACCTAGTTCCACATCTTTGCTTATGGGAATTGCGCGCGTGTGTAGACATTAGAATAATGATCTCGAAGACATTAAAGAATATTCTTGATGCGAGGGTTAACAGATACAGTAGACGATTTGTAATAGTTTTTTGACTGACGGATTGTTTACAAGACTTGATTGCTTAAATCATATTTAGACTAGTTTCGGCTTCAACCCTACTCGAATTCTTATCTTGTTCTACTTTTAATCGCATCTTCTACACGTCCAAATGATTTACCTTCATTAAACCTAACTCCACTAGGACGAGTTGGCACTGCCTGGGGACCTTCGGAACCGCAAATCTAAGATCCTAAGCTTAACTCCCCGGTTAAAAATTAGTGCCTGTCGGTTCTCCCGCCAATTTCGTCTTTATATATCTCTTCATATTTTGTCAAGGTTTAAAAACGATTATTTAAAAGTTTCTAGCAGAGAAAGATTTCAGGTTTTCACGTCAGAGAATATAAACATGGCTGTCATCTGCGTTGTTTGAGCAGTGTAGTCTGATAGACACTAAACCTGCATTTTAAAGAAAAGTCTTTCAGTTTAGAAATGTCTGCTTCATTGCTTACGTTAAAGAATTAGCTGGAATAAAAATTCACAACATAAATTCTTAAGGAGTTGTGTAAGTCTCAGACAGAAGATTAGCTACTTGAAAGTCGGTATGTTAAACATCTATTGTTGGTTGTGATCCAAAGTTAGTAGACTTTTCTAGACCCGTGTTCACACTGACTTCTATATTTACTTTAATTATATTTATATAAATCGTACGTGTATACCATGCTTTTATGTATTTCCGTATATTTACGTCAGCATAAATATGTAGATTTCTTCTGTTTAGGTTTATTTAAAGTTAACAAAAATATTTAAGTTTAAATTTAAAAATAAACAACGGGCTACGAATATGAAGTACAGGTAGATTTTTATAAGGGCCAAAAGTTTCATTGAAATTGTTTATAACGCATCAGAATTTAATGTACATTGAATCAGGTGTACTCCAAATGGCATGAAAATATAGAGCAAGGTCATAGCGTAACAATAGCTGATAAATCATATGAATGTGTGTCGCAAGTTAAGTCCTAGAAAGGACGACAAAACATGTATCAACAACACAGGATTTTTTAATATCTCCATCTTTACACATATATAATCCCGTTAAGATAAGAAAATACCATACATGATCAGGTATAAGTTAATTTTTATTATTTTTCAAATTAACCATTAAATATTACACGTATTTCAAAGCCATAATATGAGCTACTGAAGAGTGTCGTTTAATAGACTATAAATAAATAAACTTTAAAAATGTTTAATTTCTCATTTTATATCCTCTTTCGTATTCTAACTTTAGTGTTTGTTAATCTAAGTCACATTTAATATGATTTTTGGAAATATATGACTTTTATTCCACGAAATTAATAATTATATACAGGGTGATTCTTAATCATATAAAATAAATGTATCGTATTATACTCCCTTAATAACATTGTATATCTATTGGTAATACAGTTTGAATTTTGAGGCAGGTCTGTACAAATCATAGTTAATAGTGGGGAATGTCAGAAAATATCTAGTTTTAGGTTAGGTGTCGATCAGGTAACACAAATTTGCCTTCAAACCTAGGGATTGGGAAGGAAAGGATAGACATTCTCTTGGTGTGTATCTGTAAGTATAAATGTACATGTATCACGCGTTTTAAATTATAATATGTCTACTTATTTGTTCTTTTGTCATATTGATGTAATTTATTTTCTTAATTGTACTCTGATAAAGCCACAATTGTTACAGCTGTGTTACAGTTTACATTCATTATATATGGATTGTTTTCCAAGTAATTTGTCGACAAACGTGTAAAAGTAGGTTATTTTTTAATATCAGTTACCATGTAAGAATTATGGTCATGTGCATTAACAAATAGGAATTAATAATGGCATAAGTCATTTGAGTTATCGTTTGAAATGAATTACAGTTTAACAATCTGGTATGTAATTCAAGCAAGGGGAAACACATTTTTGATTACAGAAATAATTTGACGGACACGGATAATTACTTAAAATTGTTACACCATTATCAGCACACAAAGTGAACAGTGTAGTTGATACGCAAATGAACCCTGGTCCGGTACATGACGGACAGACGTACGATGATGAACATGCTAGGGCAACGGGATCGAAGTTTAACGTCCCACATGAAGCCGTGGTTGAGACAAAGCCTCCGTTGGTAGAAGGAACACATGCTTGAAACAGAGAACAGTTTCCTGGGACTGGAAATATCCCTGAAGCTGTACATGTTGTGGTACATGTTCCGGTCGCCCCTGCGTCTCTCAGGAGCCCTCCGTATCGAATCAAGATTTCGGTTACATTGTCGTTACTCGTTTCCAGTTGAGCCGACGTAAACTGGAAGCATCCTAATGCAATTATCTGGAACCGACAGGTATAGTTGTAATACTGTGAGGACAAGGTTACATGAATAGTTCTTGTCACGGGGGTGATATTCGCTGCGCGCGCAACTCCATACTTTTTCTATCCGTTTCAAAAACATTACCCTGTTTAAGATCTCGGTCGCTGCTTAATATATTATTAATGTGTACAGAAGTTAATTTTCTTTTACATCATTCCTAGTATTTGTAATTTTGATTTGAGGTTTTCACGGCGGTGAGGATGAAGATTTCTGTCTTCTTGGTTGTTGCACTGTGTAGTATGGTAGATGTTTACCAACGTTTCGGAGGTTATTACTGTCTCCGTCATCAGGGCGATAAATAGCGGTGAGTAGCCTCCCCATAGAGGTTTACTATGTACGTAGTATATTTGCATTCCATCATCCACAAATGAATAATTACATAAATTGAAAATAATAATAATAATTCAATTTAAAGTGTTTACCAATAGCAAAGAGCCTAAATTGAATTCAATTCAATTCAATCATATCTGCGTTAGTAGTGAAGAACATTGGTCTTAAAAATAATAAATATGTAAGAATGCATATTTTGGAAGCCCTTTTATAGTAGGTTTATCAATAGTTATTACTTTAATACAAAACATACTTTTCAGTCAGTTACTCAACAAACCAATATTATATTTTTATATAATAGAATGTTAAAATTAAAATTGTGTTGAAGGGTTGTTTTCATTTATATCAGGTATATTCCATAAGAACGATAAAAATTTTATTGAAAATGCAGTATATGAAATGCTTCTGTTTTTAGCAGTAGGTACCAAAAAATCTACGTATTTATTTTTAATCATAGTCAAACGAGTATGAGTACGAGTATTTAGCAAAAAAAATTGTATTTGAAAATTGAGGCAGTTAAGGAAATTTAAAATTTAAAATTCTTGCAGTTTTATACTTCCATTCCAGAAATAAGGCTGAAACACATTTTTTTATACGCAACTAATATATAAAACTGTCTTCGTATGTTTCTAATTTAACTCTCTTTTCGGGTAAGTAAATTATAAACATGGATTCTATATATAAATTAGTATTAACAAGGATATATATTTTATTGCATATAACACTCACCACCAATGCCATCTGCATTATACTTCCCATTTTATATATTTAAATGTCTTTCCTTAACAGTATCTGTTAATAAGAATTTTCCTGCTGTAACTTGTTATATGTTCCCTTTGTCTCTGCCAGCTACGAATATGCAGTAGTTTTAAAAATTCCACGTGAAGTGACTCAGTTTACGGCAACTGTAAATAATACGACTTACATTTAAGTTGTGATTTGTGTGCTGAAGGCTTTAAAATTAAATTCAGGCTCATTTCCCTGCGATGACCTTGAAATTTGGTCTCAGATATCAGCTTCTTGTGTATGGCATTTAAGGTGCTTGCAGTTTTTGGCGAAATCCGTCTCCAGATGACGTAAAGAAGACAAGAATGGAATATTCCAATGAAGTACACATACTTTGCAATGCTATTTTTTTTTACATTCTTATTACATAACTGGAAGGTGTTACTTATGGAGAGTTACACTGGTTTTAAATTCATAATTTAACTATAAACAACTCTTGAAATACACATACTTAGAAATACTAATGTTTCTTACTAGAACAAGTTTATGTTCTAACGAACTGTTACGCTATCAATTCCTTTTTTAAAATGTAGGTAGATGTATTTTATATCTTGTAACTAACTAACAAACTCCAGACACAATCCTGAACATTCCGTTTCTTATAGGCTGTTTAAATTACAGCTTAAATGACCCTCGGTATTTAAAATTTGAAGCTGAAACACATTTAAATAACACAAAAATTCAGTCCATACCGCAAAGAAAACATCACATCTTACCTTACAAAGATCAACTGGTTAACGTTGTTTAAGGAAATTTGGACGAGACGCATAATTATTTAGTGGTAACGTAGGTTGTACTTATAGTAGACGCCACTGAGTTGTAAAGGTTTAAAAATTACGAGGACTGTATTCCGGAACTCAAAAAGAGCCCTGCGCTGTTACCTTAGATCAACCCCATTCGACTAAAACCCTGATAATTGACCTTAAAATTATGTTATTGTAACAGAGTAACATTATTCAGAAATACGTAATTGCAAAAAAAACAAAAAAAAAAGCACGTGCGCATCGAATGCGGAATGCTGGCGCTGTACAGATGGCAGCACAGTGCAGAGTAACTTGAAAAGTTTCCATTATCTTATCACAGATTGCGTATTAAACCACCAGACTGCAGTTTATAGGATTTGATGTTTCCACTGCGGAGAGTCTCAAGATGGCTGTTTATGGGTTCTTTCGCCGTGTAGTCTGGTCGATGTTTACCAACGTTTCAGAGGTCATACTGCCTCCATCATCAGTGCTATGAGTATGAAGATTTCCGTCTTCTGGGTTGTTGCGCTGTGTAGTCTGGTCGATGTTTACCAACGTTTCAGAGGTCATACTGCCTCCATCATCAGTGCTATGAGTATGAAGATTTCCGTCTTCTGGGTTGTTGCGCTGTGTAGTCTGGTCGATGTTTACCAACGTTTCAGAGGTCATACTGCCTCCATCATCAGTGCTATGAGTATGAAGATTTCCGTCTTCTGGGTTGTTGCGCTGTGTAGTCTGGTCGATGTTTACCAACGTTTCAGAGGTCATACTGCCTCCATCATCAGTGCTATGAGTATGAAGATTTCCGTCTTCTGGGTTGTTGCGCTGTGTAGTCTGGTCGATGTTTACCAACGTTTCAGAGGTCATACTGCCTCCATCATCAGTGCTATGAGTATGAAGATTTCCGTCTTCTGGGTTGTTGCGCTGTGTAGTCTGGTCGATGTTTACCAACGTTTCAGAGGTCATACTGCCTCCATCATCAGTGCTATGAGTATGAAGATTTCCGTCTTCTGGGTTGTTGCGCTGTGTAGTCTGGTCGATGTTTACCAACGTTTCAGAGGTCATACTGCCTCCATCATCAGTGCTATGAGTATGAAGATTTCCGTCTTCTGGGTTGTTGCGCTGTGTAGTCTGGTCGATGTTTACCAACGTTTCAGAGGTCATACTGCCTCCATCATCAGTGCTATGAGTATGAAGATTTCCGTCTTCTGGGTTGTTGCGCTGTGTAGTCTGGTCGATGTTTACCAACGTTTCAGAGGTCATACTGCCTCCATCATCAGTGCTATGAGTATGAAGATTTCCGTCTTCTGGGTTGTTGCGCTGTGTAGTCTGGTCGATGTTTACCAACGTTTCAGAGGTCATACTGCCTCCATCATCAGTGCTATGAGTATGAAGATTTCCGTCTTCTGGGTTGTTGCGCTGTGTAGTCTGGTCGATGTTTACCAACGTTTCAGAGGTCATACTGCCTCCATCATCAGTGCTATGAGTATGAAGATTTCCGTCTTCTGGGTTGTTGCGCTGTGTAGTCTGGTCGATGTTTACCAACGTTTCAGAGGTCATACTGCCTCCATCATCAGTGCTATGAGTATGAAGATTTCCGTCTTCTGGGTTGTTGCGCTGTGTAGTCTGGTCGATGTTTACCAACGTTTCAGAGGTCATACTGCCTCCATCATCAGTGCTATGAGTATGAAGATTTCCGTCTTCTGGGTTGTTGCGCTGTGTAGTCTGGTCGATGTTTACCAACGTTTCAGAGGTCATACTGCCTCCATCATCAGTGCTATGAGTATGAAGATTTCCGTCTTCTGGGTTGTTGCGTTGTGTAGTCTGGTCGATGTTTAACGACGTTTCAGAGGTCCTTGCTGCAATTATTAGTGTGTGGTTAGGGATAATAGTTATGGGGGAATTAGATTACAGATTCAGCATTCTGCTGTTAACAGTTGGAGTCAATGTCAAAATCTGCCGTTGGCGACAGAAAAGATACTGGAGGGAGGTTCTGCGCATGCGTAGTGATAAAATCCTAAAAGATAAACATTAGCCCTATCTACATGTTTCCTTATTTCATTTATCTGTTCGTCTGCTCGTTACAATGTCATTGTTTAGTCATCTTTGGATTGTTGCAGTTAACGTCGGAAGTTCGCAAGCAAAACGCTAGTTCGAAAACTTTTTCTAGTCGCGTGGGAAAATTAACTCTGTACCCTCTCCTGCCATCTTTTCGTGTACTGCATATTTCGTTCAAGAATTTGAAATTAGTAAATTTAGCTTTTTGCGAATGCATTAATTATATCATTGCATACAAAATATTATTTAATGATTAAAGTTTTAAGATATGGCATATATCATTTATCTTTAAGTTTTATAATTATTACGATGGTAACCACTCATTACCATTGTGATAAATTGTTAATTGTACACGTGTCCTGAACCAATTAATGTCACCGCGTATATTCATTCTTTCGTAAACTAAGATCCATTTTAATCTTATCCTCACGTGTATCGTTACGTCTCTGAAGATTTGTTGAGGTTCTCGAACTAAAATGTATTAATTTCTCACCTCCTTACGCGTGCTACGTTTCCAGCCTATCTAATTATTTACTTAAAACTTTAAAGCCCAATGGTAATTATATGCACCACTGGTTTAAAAACTGTGTACGTCATATGGCCCTCAGAACACA